TATTGCATTATCTCATAAGTAGTCATGATCTCACACACTAACCAAATAGATCCAGGAGCAGCAAAAAGCCAAAACCCAAAGAAAATCAACATGATAAAAGAAAAGAGGATGTAATAAAGACTAGAAATGACCACTAGAGCATCCTAAAAATGTTGAATACCTCCGATGAAAATTAACTAAAAATTTCGATGCTCAGTTTCCTGACCTATTACTGCTTTAAAATTCTAGACAACTTATCATTTGATAAAAAGACAACCTTTCTGGAAGAGGAACAGCTTATTAATAGGTCCGTTAGATTTTAACCAATTTAATATACATACCCTGCTGTCACGTGCACCATGTGGACTACTAGCAATTTTTGGCCTGAATGCATTAGGATTACGTTCCAATGTAGCTTCAATGGCCTCTCGTCTAGCATTCTCATGTTCAACATTGTTATTACAATTATAGCAGTTGCACCCGTCGCAATATACACCAGATGCAAAGCACTCGCAATACCTGATCAAGGCATTGTGTCAATTAATTCAATATATCTTAAATGATCTGACAAGATGCTCGCATCCCACAAGCAAAAATTTCTGGAAAATAATTAAGAATCGTAGATGGAGCAGAAAATCATGTAGAAGAAAATAATGAAGTAAATATCATTTATTATTTAAAAAGCATAGGCAAACTGCCTAGCTGTCATACTCCATATCTAAGTGCATGCATACATAACATTTCAAGCCTAGGATACAAAGGAAGGCTATTACTTGAGTTTTTAATTTACAAAATGGACCAGAATAAAATTACTTAAAGACAGGGTAATGAAAGTCAAAACTATCTGAATGGAAAATAAATAGATCAAAGACATTACCCAAAACAAGAAATGCAGACCAAAATTTAGGGCAAAAAACACACTAGAATACGTTTAACTTAATGTACTTACAGCTTCAAACACTTTGAGTGTTTACAGTTACACTGTTTCTGCTTCTTTGGAGTACCCTCCTTTACATCAATATTAGATCTTGATCGTGATTTTGGAGATTCTGGTTTTCTGAAGGAAAAGAAAGCGTAGAGTTATAGGAAAACTAATAGAAACAGTTTTAACTTCCATATGAAGCTTTTTGGTTGGAAATTTTCTATTAAAAGTAATTGTGCAATAGTGAATAATCGCCCCATGTACTTCGTTATTTTGCAGTATATTCTATAAATGCAACAGATATAGGAGAACAGGAGTGCTACAATCAAAGGATTTTCATCTAGCCAAAATTAATGAATCATTAATAGAAACAGAAAACTGACTTGAAACAAATCCTTAGTCACAAGAATTCTGTAAGTTACAATGCATCAAAACGACCATCAAACATTATACAAAGGGTGATGTCATCCATGACAAAACGGGAAAGAGGAAGATAAATTTCATCACCACTAAAGAGATGAGAAACTAAACAAGACTAGGTATTCCAGGCTGAAAGACATGCAACACGGAAACTTCAATGCTCAGATCCCAAGTTTTTATTCTATTATCTAAAAAGATTAATCACTGAAGAAGAATCCTTATAAACAGTATAAGGAGACTACCAAAGCTTAAACAATATAAAGTTCGAAACAAAGCAACATGCTGTTCATCCAAAAAAATTAGTCACAAGAGAATAATTCAAAACGATCAAATTGCAGCAGAAGCACCTCAAGAAAATAAGAAAGGGAAATAATTGGAACCAGAGAGCTACAAAAAGAACAGAATATGCAAAAAAGAGAATGCTCATAAGAACCCAGAAGTTCGATCCCTTATCCCCAACTACACGTTCTCTGAAAAAAGAAGAATGAGAAGAAAAATCGACTCTTTCAGAAGAAAGTGCCAATCTTTACAGTAAACAAAGGAACAAAACTAGCCCCAGCAGCCAAAACCGAATCTTGGCAAACCAGAAAAATTCAGAAACTCGATCGCGAAGAAGGAAACAATACACTTACACAACCCTCGTGGATGCAGTTGTTTGAGCCACTTGGGCAGAAACCACCGGCACCGCTGCGACCTGCGGGTTGGTCTGTGGCTGCTGCGACACAGTTGGCGGAGCCGCCAGGGTGGATTGCGGGTGCTCCGGCAAAACCACGCCGCGGGGAATAACAACGCTGCCGGGAGAAACCCCGGAAAAACCCGCCGTGAAATCTAGCTGCCGTGCCAGCTTCTTCGCCGGAAAATCCCCCGTATCCGATTGCACCTTTTTTGGCGGGAATTCACTCCCCTCTCCTTCCCCCATCAAATTCAATCCCCCCTCCAAATTCAAAATCTCGATCAAATCCTAACTTCTCAAACCCAAAACAAATAAAAAGCTGAATCCAAACACACCCCACCAATAAGCGCACAAATTTCCCGAATCACCTTAAATTTACCCACTTTCAGATCCACCCCACAATTCTAGAATCCCCAAGACATCAAATTCCAACAAAACAAACAATATCCTCCAAGCTCAAGATTCCCACCCCAGAAGTTCAAAGAAAACCCGAGAGGATTTCGATATTGACCAATCCAAATAGAAACACAGAAGTAACAGTAGAAAGAGTGAATGCAGAAACATAAAGGGGTTAGGGTTTTAGTAGATATATTTTCCAAAAAAATAAAATTGTAAAAAAGGAGGAAGGATGGAAGGATGGAAGCAAAAGAAGAGGACTCTCTGTAGGTGGTGTTCCTCCCTCTCCTCTCTGGTTTTGAAATTTCAATTTTTGCGTATATTGAAGGGCGAGATGGGGCTCCGTTGTTACATCGGACGGTGGAGAATCAACGAGTTAATCCGAGTGTAGGAATTCGTAGGAGCGAGTGAGGATCATGTGTGGTTAAACGCAGCGTTTCGGGTAAATGGGGTGGGAAGATTGTTGGGTGCGGTCATGACCAGGGAATGGAAGTTGTTGTCCATTGAAGAGATGCCACGTGGAGAGAATCTTTGTTAACGAAGATGGTAAAGACATTTTGGCATGATGCCATTGGTTGGAATACAAAGTGAAAACAGGGGGAATTTGTCAAAGCCTCCCATGTTTTTTTTTTTTTTTTTTTTTACAATACATGTCAACACCACTAATCTCATATGAGATTATTTAAAATGGCGGAAATTTGTTTTTTCTTTTTAAGGAAAGAAATTAAATTTATGGGCCTCTCTTTGGGGAGGACTCAGGTTTGCC